TGGGCACTAGGATCCAAGTTGGGAGATCCCAGCCTAGTCCAAGTTGATGATTGGTTTGACAGCCTGCCAGTCAAGATCCATGTGCTGATCCCAGCTTTAGTTACCAAGCTTCTACCTACCATCTGCCTATTTTCATTTCATACAATGGTGTCATTTCTGGGCTCTGCTACCTCTGAGATCTGACTCTTTTTTAAAAAAAGATTTATTTATTTATTTGAAAGTCAGAGTTACACAGAGATAGAAGGAGAGGCAGAGAAGAGGTCTTCCATACACTGGTTCACTTCACAGTTGGTGGCTGCAATAGCTGGAGCTGCACTGCTCAGAACCCGGAGGCCAGGAGATTCCTCAGGTCTTCCCATGAGGGTGCAGGGGCCCAAGGGCTTGTGCCATCTGCTTTCCCAGTCCACCGCAGAGTTCTGGATCAGAAGTGGAGCAGCTCGGGAATTGAACCAGTGCCCATATGGGATGCTGGCACTGTTGGGGGTAGCTTTACCCTCTACACCACAATGCCAGCCCTGAGATCTGACCTTAACCTGTGGGTTCCTGCCTGAGGGGCATGGCATCCACAAATGATGTAGGTGATTGTATTCTGCACCCACAACTTTTGTCACATTGTTTTTAATTATCTATGTCCTTGTCATTTGTCCACCAGGACTGAAATCACCTTTAGGGTAATCATGATATTCACATTATTCGTATTGCATCAATCATACCCAGGAGAGTACCAGGCATAATGCAGACAAGTCACCCCTGTCTCCCTTACTCCTCTGCTCCTCATTCCCACAGTGCTAGGTGCTCTTGCTCTTCTCCTCCTCCACCCCTCCCTCTGCACAGCAACCACCACCATGAGACCTACACACCATGCTCCTCTACTCCCTCTGACCCCATACACTCTCCAGTTCCAGTGTATCCTAACAGGAGGACATATCAAGTGTGGAGGTTTAGTTGTACTCATGAAGCGAAGCTACAGAGCTCCACTATCACTAAGTGAATTGTGGATGTTGGCCTTGGAAGCTCCGATTCTTGTGCTCAGTTCCATGGTCCTATGACAACTGAGAGCATGGCAGAAATTAAGGAGATGCCTGCCTGCATAGCCCATTCAGTTAGGAGCCACAGAGCTCTGCAGCATTGTTGTTGGAGCCCTTTCCATTTATTCACTGCTCAAACCTATTGCTTTCTTTTCTGCTTTGTGTCCATCCACTCATATCAGAGTAGCCAGGACAGAGTGAGTTTTTATGAGTCATGATATGGAGAGCCAGTGGACACCTTACTTGGACTTTATAATGTGCATTTTGGCTATTCCAGGAAATTGTTTTTTTTTTAAAGATTTATTTATTTATTTGAAATAGTTACACAGAAAGAGAAGGAGAGGAAGAAAGAGAGGGAAAGGTCCTCCATCCGTTGGTTCATTCCCAATTGGCTGCAATGGTTGGAGCTGTGTCAATCTGAAGCCAGGAGCCAAGAGCCTCTTCAGGTCTCCCACATGGGTGCAGGGGCCCAAGGCCTTGGGTCATCTTCTTCTGCTTTCCCAGGCCATAGCAGAGAGCTGGATCAGAAGTGGAGCAGCCAGGACTTGAACCGATGCCCATATGGGATGCCACACTACAGGTGGCAGCTTTACCCACAATGCCATAGTGCTGGGCCCTCCCCAAGGAATTTTTTTTACTTCTTTCCTGCTTAATTGTGCTTTAGTTACCTAAGGTTGATGAATCTATAAATTGTGAATTAGTGTGGTATTCCAAATTTAGCTTTGAAATATATGATTTTGTGGGTTTTTTAACTTAACTTTTTTTATAATTTTTTTTTTGACAGGCAGAGTGAACAGTGAGAGAGAGAGATAGAGAGAAAGGTCTTCCTTTTACCATTGGTTAAACCCTCCCATGGCCGCCGCGGCCAGCGTGCTGCGGCCGGCGCACCGTGCTGATCCAAAGGCAGGAACCAGGTGCTTCTCCTGGTCTCCCATGGGGTGCAGTGCCCAAGCACTTGGGCCATCCTCCACTGCACTCCCAGGCCACAGCAGAGAGCTGGCCTGGAAGAGGGGCAACCGGGACAGAATCTGGCATCCCGACCGGGACTAGAATCTGGTGTGCCGGTGCTGCAAGTTGGAGGATTAGCCTATTGAGCCACGGCGCTGGCCTTTTTATAAATATTGAGCATTACTACTCCTTTTAAAAATATTTATTTGCTTATTTATTTCAAAATCATAGTTACACAGAGAGAGGGGAGGCAGAGAGAGAGAGAGAGAGAAAGAGAGAGAGGTCTTCTATCTGATGGTTCACTCTCCAATTGGCCACAATGGCCAGAAGTGTGCTGATTCAAAGCCAGCAGCCAGGAGCTTCCTCCAGGTCTCCCATGTGGGTGCAGGGGACCAAGTATCCTCTACTGCTTTCCCAGGCCATAGCAGAGAGCTGGATTGAAAGTGGAGCAGCCAGGTCTTGAACAGGGGCCCATATGGGATGCCGGCACTTCAGGCTAGGGTGTTAACCTGCTGTGCCACAGCGCCAGCCCCTGAATTTTACTTTTTTATTTAGACCTTTCTTATAGAAATGGATTATGTCTTCTAGTTTCTAAGTAACTGCATCATAATGAGGACCATTGTAGATTGTAGCAGTTAAAAATATTTGGCTTGATGATCAACATAAGGCTTATAGTTAGTAGCTACCCATGAGATTGTGTCTTGGATTTAGGGGAAGTTTATGTCAGTTGGAGGTAGCCTTTAATTACTGATGAACATGAATGTACTGAGAACTCCTTGTCCATTAAATAATAAAATCCAAATGAAGATTTACACATGAGTTCCCTCCTGTTTTCATCTACCATTGAAATCCTGTTGTTTCTGCCTTTTGGATCTCCCTGTAATCTGTTGCCTCTTCTTCATTCCCACTACCACCATACCTTGGTTCAGGTCCTACTAAATTACCTTTGATATACTTTTTAATTGACCTCTCTGCTTTTTGTTTTCTTACCTTTGTGTAAAGCCTCTTAGTTCATCCAAACATTTTTCTGATTGCTCAGGTTCTCTTACTCCAATAACTAGGAAAATCATGTGGCTGGTAGTTCTTTCAACACACCACACAAAAGAATGCTCAGTAAATGCTTACTAAATAGTGAATGGGAAGTCTTACAAAGCTAGGGTGAACATTTAACCTGCTTGGCCCTGGATGGTTTCTGTTTATACATTTCAACCCTGTGTCATTATGAATATGTCTCTTTTATTATCAAAGTTGTCTCTGAGCAACAAATTATACATTCATCTAATTGTGTGTGTTATCAAATAGATATCTATTTCATTGTCTCTTCAACTAGGTAGTTATTGGGGATCAGAAATTGTATTTGTTTAATTTTTATAGCCTCATTTATTCATTCAACTAAAAGAATGACTCTATCAAGATGCTGAGTTTCAATGTCAAAGCAAACATGTTTCTTGCCCTCCTGAATTTCAATCTGGCAAGAAAAAGCAGTCTACACAAAGAATATCACCTGACATAATAAACATTAGTGTGAAATGAATGGATACATTTAAGCATTCCTAATCCAGCAATTCTAATCCCATGAATTATAATTGACAGAAGTAATCACAAACAGAACTCCATGTCGTCCTGCTTCCATTTACATTTCTACTTAAAATCTTAAAAATCAAACACCACAAATATACCTAAGAATGCATAATATTTATATGCTATCTTGATATTAAGCATGAGAAAAATAACCATACAGCAATAGCAATTTTGAACCTCCTTTCTTTTTAGATAAGTTATAATCCTATGTGTTTCTCTACAGTGAAGAATTAGGATTGTAGATACTCTTCCTCTCCCTCACTTTTTATTTTAGAGATGAGAAATCTGGGGTTTTAGAAACTGAGCTCCAAGATAAAAGAAATATTTCTTTTTTTAAAAGAAGATTTTTTTTATTTGAAAGGCAGAGTTACAGAGAGGCAGAGGCAGAGAGAGAGAGAGAGAGAGAGAGAGAAGTCTTCCATGCACTGGTTCACTCCCCAAATGGCTGCAATAGCCATAGTTAAGCTGATCCAAAGCCAGGAGCCAGGAAGTTCTGGGTCTCTGATGTGGATGCAGGGTCCCAGGCATTTGGGCCATCTTCTGCTGCTTTCCCAGGCTACAGCAGAAAGCTGTATTGGAAGTGGAGCAGCAGGGACTTGAACTAGCCCCCGTATAGAATGTCGGTGCTGAAGGCGGAGGCTTAGCCCACTATGCCACAGTGCTGGTCCCGAAAGACTTCTTAAACCAATATTTCATGTTGGTTGGCCTTTACCTAGACTTTTTTTTTTACCATACTTCCATGGGCAAATTCAATTCTAATCTCTTTCCACCTCAGCTTTCTCTTTGTAAATTGAGAATATGGTCTCCAGAATTAACCCAAGGTATAATTGATACAAAGTAAGGCATTTACTCTGTTAATCTGGCCCCTAGAAGATACTTGGCAATGTTAGTCCTGTATCCAGTTCTCTTTTTTTTTTTTTTTTTTGTACTTGGTGAATTAGAGGGTGGTGTAAAATGCTTTGAAAAGAACCACAAATAAAAGACACAAATAAAAATCGTATTCTCAAATCTAGATGTTAAACTGTGCCGTGTACACCTGTGCTGAGAGTTACATTGAAATCCTTGTCATGGGTTACTTGAGAGAAGCTGTCCAGGAATAAAGCAGCAGGGGATTTTCCTGAGGGAAACAGCGTGTGTGAGGGAACCGGGATTTGGGACTCAGCAGCAGTGGCTGTCACTTCTTAAGATTTTGTTCAAGAAAGGAAGAACAGCAGCTGACCCTTGAGATCTGGGGTGGGAAGGAAGGGAAGGAGGGATGGAAACAAAAGCAAACGCTCTCTGGTTCCCAGCCTGTCTCCACCCACCCCACACTGAAGCCCTAGGAGAGGGCCAGTAAGTCTATCTAGGAATGCCCTGGCCTGGACTCCATTTCCCAGAGTCACCCGGTGCTCTAACGTTTCCTGCTCTGATCGCCTGTGCGTGTGCATGTGGGAGAACGTGCGCATGCGTGCCTTTCCCTGTGGCTCGGGGCTGGGAACAGAAGTTCATTTACTGATCAGAGAGGTCCCTGAGAGGCCGCGCTGCTCCTTCTCCCACATTCACTGGGGAGACTTGCTCTGCAAGTGCAATTGCAGGCGGTTCGGGAGCACACACCCCAGACCTGCCGCCCACTGCTTCTGTGCCTCTGCATCTGCCACCGTGGGCCCCAAGTTCCAGCGACTTCTCCTGTCCCACACTCTCCGCTTTGCTCCCTGTGTGTCCTGAAGGAAGGGGATGTGCTCCCGAGATTTTCCACAGCAAGTATGGAGAACAGGAGGGGCACAGATGTGTGTGTGGGAGAGGGGAGGGTGCGATGGCGGGTGGCGGCTCCCAGACCTCGATCACTTGCTTCTCAGTGATGCTGGGAGCTTCTCCAGCAGAGTCAAGTCTGGGGCCCAGGTGTTGTGTCTCCCACCGCCGCTTCCCAGTCTCCCGATGCTCGGCCAGTCCCATGGGCTGCCTCGCTCAAATTCTCCTTACAGTACACTGGACGAGGAACGGCACCAGCAGGGCAGTTGAGAGCACGCTGAAGGAAGGAGTCCCATTCCTAGATTTAAATAAGCCCAGTTCTCACTTTGGGTGGGTCAGAGAATGCCTTGTGGCTGGCCTCCGGCTATATCCCCTGGTAGTTCCAGCTGGGCGGGGCTCGGCGGCCCTGAGCCAGAGCCTGAGGCAGTGGAGAGGTGGAGATGGAAGATCAGAGTAGGCTCTGGCTCCTGGCCCCCATGCTGGACCCCGCGGACACATTTTCAGCTGGGGCGCTGTGTGTTTGGCTGACTTTCCCAGCAGCACGTGAAGCTTGTGCAGTAGCTTTGTGGATTGATCGCTCCTCCGTGTTTAATTAACAGACTCTTTTTCAATCTGGAGCTTGAGGCCATGGAAACCTAGCTGATTTATTTTCCTGCGTTTCGATTTCTGTCTTCAACCCTTCTTTCTTCTCATGTTATTAGGGATGTGAACTTTTATTACCTGCTGCTAATCCCTTTGCAAAGTGAGAAGTGAGCTGAAATTAATGCAAGTCTACCGTGTGAGTTAATAATGAGCTACTTCAATCTGCATTTTCATAGTGGAGAGCTATGAAAACATAAATACAGAAAAGTATCAATTTTTCTTCTCTAGTTCTTTACAGTCACTCAATGCTCCACCAAGCTGATTATCTTGCAGTCCATATGGTTGTAATTAAGGGGGCCAGTTACTTTTTTTTTTAATTTGACAGGCAGAGTTAGGAAGGTCTTCCTTCCGATAGTCACCGCCCAAATGGCCACTATGGCTGGCGCGCTGTGCTGATCTGAAGCCAGGAGCCAGGTGCTTCCTCCTGGTCTCCCACATAGGTGCAGGGGCCGAAGCACTTGGGCTACAGTAGAGAACTCGACTGGAAGAGGAGCAAATGGGACAGAATCCAGTGTGCATATGGGATGCCAGCACTGCAGGCAGAGGATTAACCAAGTGAGCCACGGCGCTGGCCAGTTACTTTAAAAAAAAATTATTTATTTATTTTAAAGTCAGAGTTACAGAGAGGCAAAGACACACACACACACACAGAGAGAGAGAGAGTGAGCGAGTGAGCTCCCATCTGCTGGTTTACTCCCCAGATGGTCACAATATCCAGAACTGCATGGATCTGAAGCCAGAAGCCACGAACTTCTTCCAGGTCTCTCACACAGGTATAGGGGACCTAGCACTTGGGCCATCTTCCACTGCTTTCCCAGGCCACAGCAGAGAACTGGACTGGAAGAGGGGCAGCCAGGACTAGAACCAGTACTCATACTGGATGCTGGCACCACAGGCAGAGGATTAACCTCTGCACCACATCACCAGCCCCAAGTACATGAAGAATTTAGAACAGAAAATCTAACAACCTCATGGAGTTTATCTCCCTTTCAAAACTTTTAATAACCTTTGGGATGGAGAATGCTAATTTAAGGTACTGTAATTAAGTTCACACAAACAAAAGATGTTTTAGGATGTTTTCCTTCATTATTTAAGTTAGATACTGTTAGGAAATTCTAGATTATTTGGGGATAAATTGTAATTTCTTTTCACAAGTGTATTTGAGTAGAAACACAAGCTTTCATAATCAATTATTTATGTTTAAAACATATGCTTATGTATGTTTTGTATTAAAATAACAGCATTTTATGAAGTTTAGATACATCTTGTTCAATACAAGCCTATACTTTTTTAAGTTTTATTTAAAAAGAATCTTTGTATTCATTTTTTTTAACGCAGCAAATTCCGGTGACACAGTAAGTCCATAATTTCCCACAAAATTCATAAACTTAACAACTGAGTATCTTAAGTCTTATAAATCTTCTGAATCATTCATAGTTATGCACTCGATGGAACGTACTCCTCAGCAGCTGAGAAGAATCTTAACTTAAAAGCACCAACTCTTCAGGCATCTCTACAGACCTCTATTTTTCATTCCCTAAGACATGCAGTCAGACTGCTGATGCAGCAAATACCAATTCGCCTTAAGCTGAATGGATAAGAAAAAGCATTTGGGAAACCAACATTCTTAATATTAAGTCTGAAAGCATTTCTACCTCTTTACTGAATGACTTTCCCTTCTGTCAATGTTAAACTCTAATGAATAAAAATTGTGTTTTGAACATAATTTTTTCAGGTTAATCTAGCACTTTAGGACATTTGTATTTGTTTTATAAGCCTTAAGGAAAACAAAAAGATAATCTCTAATCTAGACAATTCTGGACTCTTTCATTAGATTTAGAATTTTACAGCAAAGTAATATGATGTGTCCAAATAGTATGCCTTTTAAAAACTTCTCTTCATGCATGTAAATTAATAAAGCTTATTTCCAATATATATTTTCTGTATTTTCATTTGCTGAAGCAGGGTTCAAAGGGTGTTTTTAGGATCTTGCCAACATCAGCCCTATGTACCCATAAATTATTGGAGCCATTAAATGGACAATAAAAACTGGTTGAGGCTACTGATGAATGCTTCAAAAGGAATCTGAATCTTTTCCAGGTGTCTTTTTAGGACATTAAGGTGATTGATAATATCCCAAATCCCTGTAGTTTGGAACATACACCCTAGCGGTTTGGACCCTACACTTTAGCCAATCATTTTAAAAAGCATCACCCCCAAAGCCATCTAACCACCTTTACTAGGTCTATTCCCACCACTGGATTTACTAATCAATTTTAAGAGATGTTCTTTAAATTCCCGCAGAATGAGACGATTTGCTGAGTGGTGCTATAATATGTAGAATGTCTCTGAAAACTCTATATAAACCCCACAAAGTATATGGGATGGGTCCTCATCAGATGACCACTGTGATGATTGGAGGAGTGGACCCTAGATCAAGCTAGAACAATAAACCTCTTTGCTTTTGTATCATTGAAGTCTCTCATTGGGATAATTGAGTCCCATCCAAGTTCGGTCTAACAAAAAGAGAGTCGACCTCTGCCATGCGCTAGTTCACTCCCCAAATGGCCACAATGGCCAGAGCCGTGCTGATCTGAAGCCAGGAGCCAGGAAATTCTTCCAGGTCTCCCACATGTGTGCAGGGGCCTAAGGACTTGGGCCATCTTTCTACTTCTTTCCCAGGCCAGAGCAGAGAGCTGAGTCAGAAGTGAGCAGCTGGGACTTGAACTGGAGCACATATGGTGTGTCAGCACTGTAGGCCAGGGCTTTAACCTGCTGCACCACAGTGCCAGCCCCCAACTATTAATAAGAGCTCCTAACTGACCTGTTAATTTTGATAAAAAATTTATGACACTCATGAGTTTTATTATGAATCTTCATTCTAGTTTGCATGGCATATAAATGACCCCCTTGGTGAAATACATAATGATCAAACAATGGCTGCCAACAAACACACCTCAGATCAACTTGAGCAACTATCCAGTAATAAGCCACCACAGGGCCCTACTTGTCATGCTGCTGAACCTTCAGGTGATGCTGTATTTCTTTCATTTTTAAAATTATTTTATTTTTTTTATTTTGACAGGTAGAGTTATAGACAGAGAGAGAGAGAGAGAAAGGTCTTCCTTCTGAATGTTGTTGGTATTTTGATTGAGATCATGTTGAATCTGTAAATTGCTTTTGAGGGGCTGGCACTGTGGAATAGTAGTTTGAGCCTCTGTCTGTGGCATTGGCATCTCATATGGATGCCAGTTTGGGTCCCAGCTGGTCCTCTGATCCAGCTCTCTGCTCATGGCCTGGGAAGGCAGAGGAAGATGGCCCAAGTGCTGGGGCTCCTGTATCCACATAGGAGATGAGGAGGAAGCTCCTAGCTCCTGGGTTTAGATCAGCCCAGCACCAGCCATTACAGCTATTTGGAGAATTAACCAACAGTTAGAAGGCATTGCTTTTTGTCTCTCCGTCTCTCTGTCTATAACTTCTTCTCAAATAAATAAATGATTGTAAAAGTAAAATTAAAAATAATTTCTATTGGTAGAATGGGAATTTTGATGATATTTGTTCTTCCAATTTATGAACATCAAAGATTTTTCCTTTTTTTGTGTTTTCTTTTTTTTCTTTAATGTTTTGTAATTTTTCTTATAGAGATCTTTCACACCCTTGACTAAATTTATTCCAAGGTAATAAAAAATTTTATGGTTATCGAGAATGGCACTGTTCTGATAAGTTATTTTTCAGCCATGGCATTTTTGTGTATATAAAGGTTATTGATTTTTGTGTGTTGATTTCATATTTTACAACTTTGCCAAACTTTCTTGTGAGTTTCAATAATCTCTTGGTGGAGTCTTTTGGTTTCCCAATATTTAGGATCATGTCATCTGCAAACAAATTATTGGACTTTCTCCTTTCTAATTTGTTTTCCTTTGATTTCTTTTTCTTGCATTATTGCCATGGCTAAAACTGTCAGTAGTGTATTGAACAGCAGTAGTGAGGGAGAGCAACTTTGGTTTCAGATCTTAGTGGAAATGCTTCCATGATTTCCATTCAATATGATGTTGGTTGAAGATTTGTCATATATTGCCTTGATTGTGATAAGGAATGTTCCTTCTATTCCCAACTTGCTTAAGGTTTTTATAATGAAAGGCTGTTTTTTATCAAATACTTTCTCTTCCTCTATTGATCATCATGTGGTTTTTATTCTTTAGTTTGCCAGTGTCACATATCACATTTATTGATTTGCATATGTTGAACTATCCCTGCATACCATAGGTACATTCCACTTGGTCCAGGTAAATTATCTTTATGATCTGTTGTTGGATTTTATTAGCTAGTATTTTGTTGAGAATTTTGGGATCTGTGGTTATCAGAGATATTGTTCTTTAATTCTCTTTCTCTATTGTATCATTTTCTGGTTTAGAAAATAAGGTGACACTGGCCAAACAGAAGGAGTTTGGGAATACTCTTCTCTTTCAATTGCTTTGAATAGCTTAAGAAGTATTGGAATTAGTCTTTTTTTTTTTTTTTTTTGGACAGGTAGCATGGACAGTGAGAGAGACAGAGAGAAAGGTCTTCCTTTGCCATTGGTTCACCCTCCAATGGCCGCCGTGGCCAGCACGCTGAAGCCGGTGCATCGTGCTGATCCAAAGCTGGGAGCCAGGTGCCTCTTCTGGTTTCCCATGGGGTGCAGGGCCCAAGCACATGGGCCATCCTCCACTGCACTCCCAGGCCATAGAAGAGAGCTGGCCTGGAAGAGGGGCAACTGGGACAGAATCCGGTGCCCCAACTGGGACTAGAACCTGGTGTGCCAGTGCCACAGCTGGAGGATTAGCCTATTGAGCCACGGTGCTGGCCAATTAGTTCTATTTTTAAAAGTCTGGTAGAATTTAGCAGTGAAGCTTTCTGGTCTTGGGCTTTTCTTTGGAGGGTTTTTGTTACTGATTCAATATCTGTTTCGGTTTTTGGTTTGTTTAGGTTTTCTATATGTCTTCATGGCTCAATTTTTTTACCTAGCATGTGTCTTGATTTCTTCCAGGTTTTCTGATTTGTTGGTCATTGCATGTGATACCCACATTCTATATTGCAGTGCTAATCTAAGTTTTCAGTGTTTCACTTCCATAGTAGTTTCCTGCTTAATATCTCTGAGAAGCATAGGGTAGTGGCTCAAATTCTTCAGTTCCTTTCACCTATGTGCAAGATCTACTACTTATTATGGGACCTGAGAGCCTGGTCCAGCCATAGCTGTTGCAAACATTTAGAGAGAGAACCAACATAAGCAAGACCTCTCTTCCTCTCTTTCCTCACCCACTTTCTGTGTGTTTCTCTGCCCTTTCTAAAATCATTTTAAAAGTTATGTACTTCTTTATTTGAAAGTCACAGTTAGAGAGAGAGAGAGAGAGACATAGAGAGATCTTCCATCATCTGTTTCACACCCGTGGTTTCTCCAATGGCCGGTGTAGGGCCAGGTTGAAACAAGGAGCGTCTTTTGAGTCACCCATGGGGGTGGCAGGAGCCCAAGTACTTGGGCCATCTTCCACTCTATCAGGCCATTAGCATGAAGCTAAATCAGAAGTGGAACAAGTGTGACTTGAACTGGTGCCTATATAGGATTCCAGTATAACAGATGGCAGCTTTGCATACTGCAGCACACCGTCCTCCTCTCTGCCTTTCAAATAAACAAATCTTTAAAAAGAAATGAAAATGTCCTTAAGATAGTAAAAGTCATCATGATTGAGCACTGAGGAATCTATTGAAATGATTACATTTTAAAAGATTTATTTATATATTTGAAAGGCAGTGTTAGAGTGAGAAAGGGAGAGACTGATTTTCCTTCTGGTTTGTTCTCCTCCAAAATGGCTGCAATGACTGGGGCTAGACCAGGCTGATCTCATGAGATAGGAGCTTCTTCCAGATATCACATGGGTTCAGGGGCCCAAGCATTTGGGCAAGCCTTTGCTGCTTTCCCAGACACATTAGCAGGGAGCTGGATAAGTTTGGAGCATCAATATCTATGACATCTTCCTTGCAGTACAAGGATATAGAGCCCATCTGGCACAATTAACGTCCTATATATGGGTGGGCCAAGTATAACAGCTTCCAACTCTCAAGGTTTGGACTAGATGGGTTCTGAGGAATCGTGTTATAACAGATATTAATCCATAATTCTTGGTTTAAGCTTTTGTTAGCAGATAATGCTGTGACTACTTTGGGTCTCTGGATTGTCACCAGTGAAGGCATCCAGATTAATAGTAATGAAATCAACAGTCAGTAGAATGGTGTCCAGCTGAACTTAAATGGTTTTTCTTTATTATTGTTAGAATAGTGACCTCCTGCTGTACCCTGGCATCTGGACATAGACAGCAGACATTGGAAGCCAAATGGAGTATGCCAAGTTTGGGTCCATCATCTATTAAGGAGGCCTTAGTAGCCATTCTCATGTTTTACTGTTCTATATCCATGGCCAAAGTCCTACTAGATAACAAGGTTTGGAGAATCACAGGCTCAAGGTGTGTAGGTGACTGTTTTTCCAGTCTAGCACAATTAATAGAAATCTAATTTAATTTTACTGGCACATAGCAAGGTTCCAAGAGAGGTTATTCCTTGCATCACAGCCCTTGAGAAGTAGTGGATATCACAAATGATCCAGAGAATTTAGAAGGCATATGATCTCCATGAGTGAAGTCACTGAGAGCACTAAGGATAGTGCCTACAGAATTCAATTTGACTTTTCATTGGAAGGAGGGGGATATAAGCTGGACTGATTTGTAGCATCCATGACAGTTAATTTTTTAAATGAGGCATGCATTGCACCAAAACCCAGGAAGGGCTAAAAGGTATTAGCATTGTATGTTCTTCACAAGTGTGTCAAATAGTCTCATGAAGGGAGGAAGTCATCAATGTGATATATTCTTGTGCTCCTGATAAAAGCTGGGTACAGTTAAATTCTTTGCAAAAATTATATTTGATGGCCAAGTCAATGAGATGCTCATGTATACCCTAGAAAAAGTGTCTTTCCAAAGTGAAGGCAAACTAGACTGAGGAGCTGTTGGAAAAGTTTTGAGCAAAAACACATTTGCCACTTTTGTAATAGTTAAGACAGGTCATTTATCTACTAAGAGGCATGAGATATGTTAATATTAGATATAAAGTATGGTGAACATAATGGCATATAGCATTAAGATTTTAGTAATCTACCATGAGATGCCATTTACTTTTTTCCAGATTCAACAGGTAAAATTGGGCTGCCAAGTGGGAAACAGCTGGAATAATCACCTTTTTGTTTATTAAGTTTAATGTAATACATTTTAATGCATGAAGACATTGAGTTTCCTTTTATTATGTCATCTTAATTATTTTAGTTTGGGACCTGTGGAGTGTTATTTTCCCTAGTTAAGTTGTAGCTTAAAATTTTTATTTTAATAATTACTCACTGTGTTAGGCCATCTCTCCCACCTGTGGGAATTTTTGAGTACATCTGACTATTGGAAATTTAGGTAATACTATAGTTAAAATGAGATGTACCAAATAAATAATTTTTTTCTTCTGATACATATTTTGGAACTTTTCTAAAATGGTATTGAGCACCCTGTTTAAATTTAGGGGGATTCCCTGGGTAAGACTGTTATTTGAGCCACATTACTGATTTCTTCTATGAAAATCTGTGAATAAGTGCATCTAGAACCTGGAAAAGTTGATGTCTTATGCTGAAGAGACATAAGAATCAATGTCTTTTTATCTTTTTTTAATTATATAATTTACAAATAAGTTTTAGATGACTAAAAGGATGAAATTATGTACTTTTCAGAAATTTATACCTATATACAACTATAATTGATATATTATACATTTTCTTTCTTTAGGTTTTTAAGACTTCTTAGGGCTGGCACTGTGGTGTGGGCAGAGGTCCACACACTTGGGCCATCTTTTGCTGCTATTTTCCCAGGTTCAATAGCAGGGAGCTGGATCAGGAGTGGAGAGACTGGGACACAAACTGGCACAAATATGGGATACCATTCCCATCTAGTAAAACTTGATCA